GCCTGGAACTCACAGAGATCTACTTGCCTCTGGAGTGCTGGGAGGAAATGCATGCTCCGCCATGCCTGGCCTGGATTTTCATCTTCTTAAGTTGACTTATCCCAGGTATTTTGTCACAGGATGAAAAGCTGACTAAAACATACTACTAGATGTGAGGTGAAACCTCATAAACATTTTTGAATGGCATTTCTCCGACTATTAGTGACGCTGAACAGTTTTTCTAATATTGTTGGCCATCTTTATGTCTTCTTAGAAGAAATGTCTATTCAGGCCTTTGCCAATTATTTTAGTAGGCTGATTTTCCACTGTCTCATAGTTTTACATATTAACCCTTTAGGATCACCCTCTACTTTCAGTGCTGTAATCATTTCATACAAGCTGACAATTGCCAAATGTGATCTATACCCCAGACCTGCCCAACTGTAAAGGAACCATCATCTGAGGAGAGTTTGCATCTAGGGAACACTTATCCGTGATAGCTCCAATAACAACCACAAAAAGTGGTGAGCCACGGCCCTTTCACATGCAGATTCCTTAAATCTGGGTGAGGTCCTGGGAGCTCTGGGTTCTAAAGCTTCATCCAGTGATTGTGATGCTGAGATCCCAGCCCCCACCTTACGAAATGCTGTCTATCCTAAGGATTTCTCCAGATTCTCCTGATAACTAGACCCCAGCGTTTGTGTAAACATTTTTCTCTATAGAGAACTTAGGGCATAAAAACAAAGATCAGTTTAACATTTCTCATTGTAAACATTACCCACTAAGGGACATTTCTTTGTGGTCTGGAGAATAGAATCTCTGGGCTGGACCTGGGTGGAGAACAAACATTCCAGTTGGACGGGTCAAAGGACTCCCGCCCCCCCCCCCCACAGCTAGGTGAAATAATTCTGCCTTTAAAGAAATACGCCATTTTTCTTCCCTGAAATCCCACCCCCTAGCGCCATCTCTCACAGAGGAACAGCCCTGCAGCTTTGAAAGTCGGCCCACTCCACCGAGTTACTCCGCAAAGCATAACATCTTTTCTAAAGAGGCTCTTCCTAAAAGCCTTTGGGCTTCCGTAACACTGTAGCATCATCCTCCCTAATGTAAGCTACCCTCCTCTCTCACCCTGTGGCTGCTTGCCACATAACTGACCTCCATGCCTGCTTAACTCAAACAGCATGCCTTTCCCCTCTCCTCTCTGTCATTCTCTTCTGAGCAGCTGCTGAGACTGACAGCCTCCCTGGCTTGTGTTTTTTTCTTTCTTAATTATTTTCTTTTCTTTCTTTCTTTCTTTCTTTCTTTCTTTCTTTCTTTCTTTCTTTCTTTCTTTCTTTCTTTCTTTCTCTCTCTTTCTTTCCTTCTTTCTCTCTCTCTCCCTCTCTCTCTCTCTCTCTGATAAAATTGTCCTTGAGTTTCCATTTGCATCCATTTAATTTTTTTTTAATAAGAACCCCAAGAGAGGGGTCGGGGCCCTAATTTCCCCAGGATCATCTAGGGACCACAGAAATACCACTCAAGGTTTCAGTCACATAATCTCAAGAAAAACCTCACAAATCTATTTCAAAGAATCATACAGTCAAAGTAAAATCACAGTATTCTTTTCATACCTGAAGGTTGTATGGTCTGACAGATATACTGTTCAAACCTTTATTAATGAAAGAAATAGCTCTTCTTATCGTTAGGATTGTGCAGTGAAGTTACATGGCAGGTTCAGAGACAGAGAGACAGAGACAGAGACACAAAGAGAGAGAGACAGAGAGAGAAGGTGGTGCGAGTTCTCTTATAAGGTGACCCAGAGCATGCAGGTGGTTTCAGGAGGTCCACTGGAAGTCTGTAGGTGGCCTCACAGATGCCTGATAATCCGGTTTGTCAGGTCCCTTGGGGCTGGCCATGGAGATTCCTACTTACGGATCCCAACACTTATCTCACAGGAATACAGAGGATGGTATATTTTGGAACTAAATATGAGTGTCCATGACCTAGGAAGACAGATTCAGTTTCGGCCAAATACCATGTTCCAATGATAGCAAATTCACAAGTTTTTTTTTTTGTTTGTTTGTTTTTGTTGTTTTGTTTTTTTTCCATAAGGAACAGAACAAAAAAGACGGTAAAACAACACACTTTCCAAATGCATAGGTGGGTTACAGCAAAATGGGGGTAAACTCAGTGGTTATAACTTTCCTAACACTGCAGCCCTTTAGCGTAGTTCCTCATGTTGTGGTGACCCGCAACCATAATATTATTTTGTTGCTACTTCATAATTGTAATTTTGCTACTGTTATAAATTGTAATGTAAATATCTGGTTTCCAGGCTATCTAACATGCTATCCCTGTGAATGGGGTCATGGCTCACAGGTTCTGCAGCATTTTTGGCCCTCTGGTTGGTGGACACAAGTGGTCTGCTTATCCAGTCCCAAAGATTTCCCTGATGCCTTGCAAAAGACGTTAGGTTACCTATAAAGGACGGCAGTAGATGACATTTGAGGGGCTAAAGATGCATCGTGACAATTTGGCTTTGAACTTGCAACATACCAACCGTTCTGCATGACTGAAATTCCAATGAGTCAGCCTTTGCGGACTCCTCTTTCCAGGAATTCTATTCATACACCAGTACAGTGAACTAATACTAATTCTAAACAAAGCCTGCTTCCTGTTAAGTCCCTGGCCACTCCCTCTCATCCTCTGTACTGTTATTCCTGGGCTATCCAAGATGTGTCCTCAGAGCAGCGACTTCCAGAAACGAAGAATACTTGCAATTTGTCTCCTTTTCTTCCCCTTGGTCTTATTCCCACAAAGACCATGAACTAAGAAACTGCAGAACAAGGCTCACAGATACCTCCATAGCAGCCACTGGCTGAGGGAAAACCCATTAAATTGAGAGGTGGAAAGATGGCTCAGTGATTAAGAGTTTTCTGCTCTTCTACAGGATTAGGGTTCAGTTCTCATCACCCACATCGGGCAACTCACAACATGTCAGTCCAACTCCATAAACACACACACACACACACACACACACACACACACACACACACAGCAATTATAATGAATCTTTAAACAAACAACCACGTCCTCTCTGAGAGACCAAAAGATAAATTAGCAGCTATTATCAAACCTGAAGTAGGTGGGTGGAGAATCCAGTAATGCTCTGAGGGGAAGGACCACCTTACTGCATTCTTTCCCCACCCACTAGAGATAACAGTTGCTAGGAAACTGGCCCATCTTCCTAGGGAGGGACACCAGGTCATTATGGTCTGGGGACCTTCCTATAGCCAATCAATTAAAAATGTAGCATTTTGACCAATAGATGCTTGCCAGGCAGGAACTGCCCCTGCCTTGGGCATGCTGGGAGGGACCAGAATCTGTACATCACCCAACTAACCTGGGCACAGCGCACTCAGCTCCCACCGTTTTGGCGGTGGGTGTTGTGGGCCCAAGCTGCAGCTTGTAATTTACAATAAAAAGACCCTCATGTGTTTTGCAACGGAGTCGATTCCTGTAGATCTTTTGGGGGCTCACGAACTGGGTGTAACACTCTCAAGGAAGCTTTCTTAGAATATCTTATCAAATGACCTCAATTAGCATCGAGTTTTAAAATTTATATAAAGTCTGTGTTTGTGTGTTTGTGTGTGTGTGTGTGTGTGTGTGTGTGTGTGTATTCCTATGCCATGGCACTGGTGCAAAAGTCATAGTAAAAGTCAATATCCCATTCTCTCCAACATGTGGGATTGAACTCAGGTTGTCAGGCTTTGTGGCAAGGGACTTTGGCCACTGAACTGTCTCCCTGATCCAACTGGTAAAGTTTTAAATATAAAGAATACTGGTGTGGTGCCGGGTGCTGTGGCACATGCCAGCAATCCCAGCACTTTCGGAGGCAGAGGCAGGCAGATCTTTGTGATTTCGAATCCAGCATGTCTACAAAGCAAGTCCAGGACAGCCAGCACTACATAGAGAAACCTTGAACGACAACAACAAAATACTCGTTTATTAGCGGTTTGTTGTTTGTTTATTAACTGACTTTCTTGGCTATTTGTGATGTCACTTGCCTTTAATCTCAGCACTTAGGAGGCTGGGGGTAGGCAGGTCTCTTTAAGTTTGAGGCCAGCCTGGTGTATGTAGTGAGTCTCAGGCCAGCCACAGATGCATAGTGAGATTTTGTTTTAAAGCAATTTTCCCCCCTTGAAGCTTCGTATGAGTTTGCTTTGCTGTTTTAAATAAATCTAATTTGATGTTTTCCTCAATTGTTCTTTTATTCATGTTATGCCTTTCAGTTCAGAAGTGAAATGATTTTGCCCAGGGTTATTAGAGCAAAATTAGAGTCCAATTAGTCACTTTGAGACTTCCCAACCAAGTAGCTGATTCCTCTTTAATCTTTAACAAGCTCCATTATGCACAAACCGATGCTAGTATCTAAGGAATCTGAAGTCATGCGAACCACACAACTCTAAAATATTTGAATGTTCTTCTACTCTGCGTGAAAAATGTGCATTTTGCTGACCTGGCCCCAAAACTATGAATAGAAACGCTGCCAAGCAGAGGCTGTCATGTTTGATTCATTTCGATTGGATCCCTTTGAAGAACTAATATTGATGGTCAGTCTCCCTCCACTACCTATATTTCAAAATGTACAATAAGGAGGCATATTTTTTTTTTCCACTGAAGGAAAAAAAAAATCAATGGGGTGAGGGGAAACTGGCAATTTACCTAGGCTTTCCTCACTGTTTGCTTTGATTTATAGTGGGCAAGGCACAGATTAACCCCGATTTCCTACATCCAAAACAAGACTTTTCACTTCAGCTGGCTGTTCTTTGAAATATTTTCTTTTCTGTTAGTCTCTCCATATTTCTTTCTCCCCCCCCCCCCCCCCCCCACTGCCTTCCTCCCTCTGCTGCAGGGATTTGTCCTCTAAAAGCTCGGGGTGGGAGGGAGCAAGGACTGGGAGCAGGCAGGCAGCAAGAGCTGGAGGACGCCAGAATCTGGCTTTTGTTATTGGCTGGTTGCGGCCTGATGGATGGTCGAGGGCGGAGTGAGCTCTTCTCAGTGTGTTCTGCCGGAGCCCAAGTACAGAGACCATATTTGCAGGTAAGAGGAAAATATAAAAGAGAGAATTTCTTTCCTTTCCTTTCCTCTCCTTTCTTTCTTTTTTTTAAAAAGGGAAACGCTCAGTTCTGGTAGCAGCATCCTTGTAGTGTGGGAATCCTGAAGCTCCTTCCCGAAAGCGGTCCCTCGCTTGGCTCCCGGGAAGCCTTGATGAGCAGCTGGTTGTGTTTGCAAAAACCCTTTCTCTGATTTAAACACAAAAAACCGCACAGACCCACCAGAGGCATGTCTTCTCCCGGAGAGCCATTTTACCAAGGGTTCCTGAGCAGAACCGAAGGACAAAACCGTGTGTCCCTGTGTGTTTTTATCAAGGCTTCTGTTCATGGAAACCGGAGGAGACGTGAGAAAAGCTTGATAGATTCCACAGGTCCTGAGAAAATGGAGCCTTCCCTGAACATACTGGATTCAGTGTGGGGACTCTATATTTACCGCCCAGCAAGGAGCTTATGCATTTTTATTTTTCTTTTAAGTTTGCAGTTTCTTTTAGTCTTGTCTTTGAATGAATGGTCTGTGTGCATTTAAGTCCTCTTCTCTCGATGCATCTCGTGCCCTGAGCAGCTGCAGCGTTTTAGTCAGCAAATTTGAAGCTTACGTGTGGTGATGAAGTCAAGTCTATCGATAGCTGTCAGCACGCACCGGGCGGTTTTGCCTTTAAGAACGCAGAATTCTAATGGGGAAGGATGGGGCTTTGCTGGAAAAAGTAGTGTCTGACCGACAAGTTTCATTTATGAATCAGATACACCAAGGTTAAGAAATTCCACCACACATTGCCAGCAAAAACCTCGCGACAGCTATTTTATTATTATTTTTTTTAATATTCCTAAAGTTTTGACTTTACCCGTTGTTTATAATGCCTGACGCTTTGTTTTATTTTTCTTGTAAGAAAATCAGGGAAGATCTTCAACAGTGTGGGGTAAACGATATATTTATAGTAATAAAGACAGGAAAATAATTCTTATTCCACAACACTACTCTGTTGATTATAATTTATAAGATCATTTAGGTCAGAGAGGACCTCATTACTTTGAACTCTTAAGAAATAGTACAGACGTGGACACTTTGGCATCCAATTGATACCTGTTGACTCGAATAAAACAAAGCGTAATGGTGATGTAAATACTTCATTCATGTATTTTGATGCCTTTCAATAAATCATAACTTACTAAGAATGACTATAATTTCTAAGAAAATTTGGACTTGTTTTTGCGTTGAGTTGGAAGATGGGTGATACAAACCTTTGAATGAGGTGGTACAAACCTAAGAAGTCTTAAGAAATTAAGTGGGAAATAAATACTGCCGGATATTAGGGAAAGGTTGTTCAAGTTAATGGACACCTCCTTTGAACTTTCTAAACATACTAAATAGACTTAATATCTTTTTATGCTTAGATGTTATGTTGGTCTCTGCTATGGTTTGTCTGAACCATTTCTGGATTTCAAAAACCATGACCTAATGCTCTAAAATTTTTCTGTGTTTTTAATTGTTGGTGTTTTTTTTTTTTTAAAGTAATTTTTGTTTTTCAAACAAAATGATGATTACAATTAATTCCAGTTTCTCACTCCCCCCTGCCCCCGGCACTTGAGGTGATATGCAAGACTACATAAATATTCAGCTGATGGAATGTGTTAGAGACAAAAAAATCAATGCAGCTACATTTTTTTTTTAAAAAAAGGAATTATAAATTCTGAACAAAGCTACCTCTAGGAATGAAAAGGGATTGATGAAAATTAGAGAGCAGAGTTCCACATGGTTTTAAATTATTCTGTTTCCTTGGAAACCAGCTGCTGCAGATGCATTTTGCTTTCTTTAGCTAAAAATATCGTCCTTTTAATAATCACTAAAGGAAAGGTTCTGAATAAAAGCAAAGTATATTGTTGTTGCTTTTTATAATTTCCTTAATGGCTCACATATTTTGGATGGAAAGTAGATAAACCCTTTCTCCATCAGCATTTTCTATCAGGCACTGGCAGACGTCTGCAAGGCGTAAAAAAGGAAACAACTGTGGTAGCTTCTACTGCAGTCTGTGGGAAAAGTGTGTGTGTGTGTGTGTGTGTGTATGTGTGTGTGTGTGTGTGTGTGTGTGTGTTGTACTGGAGGCAAAGGAGAGGCAAAAGCATGAAAGATGATACAGACAAATAAAAACCTCCCAGAGCTCTTGAGTAAGATATGGCAAGGTGAGGCCATTTGTTCCCCCCGCCACGTACAGAGTTTTAAGATGTAAATGTAGGTTTGTAGCACAGATGACTTGTATTGTTTTGTCTTTCTTTGGCACAGTGTTTGAGTTCATTTTTCTCCCCATGTTGCAGTGGTTAGTAATGTACTGAGTAAGATGAAAAGTAAAAAAAAAAAAAAAAGTGTATTGGTAACTTAAGAAAAATCTACACATGCAAATGTAGGATGTGAGTAATAAGCAACTGAGTCATATTTGGGCACGGTGGTGTAAGGACCATTTTAACTCACAGTCCAGACCACGTTTTACCAATTCACTGATTTTCTTGCCTTGAAGATATATCTAATGAATAAAAGTCTTTATCCATTCTAGCCAGTTAAAAATAATTGTTTTAATATTAAGGTAATTCATTTTAAGCTTAATAATTTTTTAATGTATTGTACACATATTTTTGAAGTGGTTTTCTTTGTTTGAAATAAAGCATTTGTTGTATATGGCTTTCTTTATAAGGAAAAAACCCATCACAGTTATCATCCAGTTTTGCTCTAGGCAATTTTTTCAAATTAAAATATTTTCATAATGTGTGCTTTGAAGACAGCACTGTCATCCTGAACACCATTTTCTTTATCAGTTGGTAAGGGGAACCATCGTAATGTTTTAGTTTTACTTAGTTATAATGCAAATGAGATTCTCAGTTCTGTTATCTCTTTACTGCTTGTTTAAATAACTTTGGCACAGCATACTTTATTTTCGTAATAGTAACCTTAGCCAGTTAGATTTAGCATTAGCCGTGTAGCAATTACAATACTACACTCTTAAACCACGTGCTAAGATATTTAATATTTAACCAGTACATTATATGCAGTTAAATTTACTGGGTGCATCAGTGCTTTGCTTTGCAGGGAATCTTAGGACAGTGAAGAGTATTTAGTTGTTCTCAATTAGCGTGAACAAATACTTCAGAGATAACGCTTCCAGCATAAATGATGATGACACTGAAAAGCATGCTAACAAGACAGAAGGACCAAGACATGGTCATGTGACCTATGCAAATAACCTCATTATCAGACACAGTCAAAATATCAAGCATTCTTTAAGTACCTGAAGATCATGTACTACATTCACTTATTCTTAATGTTAGATTACTTAAAAATACAGTTTATTACTTACAACAATAAAGTTTTATGTTTCTTTATTTTCTAAAAATGGCTAAGTACCCTTTTAGGTGCTTTTGAACAGGCCTCTCGGATCTCATAAAGTACACTAAGGAAAATAAATATTTAATAACTTCCTCCATAACATAGGTAGGCAACTCCTATATTGAGAGTGGAAGTATGCTGGTTTGGCAAATGGCGCCACATTGCTGGAAGTGGAGTGCTGGGAATTACAAGGAAAGGGTAACAATATCAGGGTAAGGAAGCTCGGGCCAGATTTCCCCGGTTTCACATGTCTCATACTTACAGTGGTCCAGGCAAATGAGCACTCATATTAGCATCTGTGCTGGCTGGTGTCGTAACTCAGAAATAGTATCGATCAGTACCTGCTGTTCTTGCTTCCTTCTGCATTAGTACTTGATATTTAGTCTAAGACTTACACAGGAATGAAAATGGAATCGATGCAAAGCAGGCACTGCTCTTCGGTTGCATTTTAATGCACCAAGGAGCAAGGCATGGAATTCATTATCAAGCCAGTGATAGCATTTGGATGATCCCCAAATCTCAGTCAGTGGGCAGGTCACTGTACTTCCCAGTTAGTTATTTATATTTTGACTATAATGAGCGAATTAGTTTGACTTAAAATTTATTGAACATACAAACTATGAAAACAGTCTCAGCCTGAGATTTCAAACCTTTTATTCAAGTATGACAATCCTGATGTGTGTCAGCAATGTGTATCAGCAAGGATATCATGCACAGGAGAGCAACTTGATGAACATTAATCTCATCATGTAAAAAGATAAGATGGGCTAGCAGAGATGGCTCAGTGGCTAACATACCTGCTGTGTAGACAAGAAGACTGGAGGGGTTTGGAGACCCAGGACCCATGCAAATATTGGGTGGGCACAGCATTAGCTAAGTCACTGTTCTTCCAGTCTGGGAAGGCCAAAACAGGGGACCCAGCTGCAGAGATGCAGTCGTATCTGCAACTTCTAGATTTGACTGAGAGACACTGCCTCAAAAAATAAAGGGAAGAGTGATAGAGGGAGAGTCCCAATATCAACATGAGGTTTCCAACACACATGCACATATACATGAATACATATCTTCACGGTGGGTGCCCCACATGAGAATATGCATGTATGCCCGCACATTTACATGCATGCAGGGCATACATGTAAAAAAGGAGGTAGCAATTGTAGTAATTCTGTCATATATTTCTCAAGAGCCCTTATATTAAGGATAGTCCAGTTTAATATATTAGTTCAAAACAGTAAAGAAGCATGGTGCATACAACATATTTCTTTGTTCTTTTTTTCCTGATTCATTTGCACATTAGTTAAAAATGAAATTTACTTAAAAGAAAAATAACAAATGCTTTTTGCAAGATGTTGTATCTTTAATCAATATTTAGCATGAAATCTTTTATAAACACTCAGAATTTCCCACACTGTATATTTTAGGCTTCCTCCATTAGGAGCATGGGGCTTGCCCATACTGATATCCGAAGTCTTCACTGCAGTTGTGGAGAAACCAGGCACAGAAAAGTGTTCTTGAGGGATGAAGGGAAACGAATCATTTGCATATATGAAATTTCGATAGCCAAAGGCTATGGGTTTTTGTTCAATACAGGATGTGTTACATTAAAGACTGTG